AGCAGGTGCCCACTCCCACCCTTGGTGTGTGTGCACACGCGCACACACACACGCGTGTACACGTACGTACACACTCTCTCTCTTTCTCTCTCTCTCTCCTCCCAATCTCCTGCTCTGACTCTTGTACCTCCACCCATGCCCTGAGTCCCCATGCATACACCCCTCCTACCAGTAACCTAGCCTCTCCACAACACCCATCCCTATCTCCTGCTCCCCCATACCTCTGGCCTTCTCCCCTGAGCCCCCCACATCCCTAAGCCCCTGCCCTGATTCCTGCATCCCCACACTGCCAGCCCCCTGCCTTGAAGGATCCGAGCAATGCTGGGTAAGTCTTTTAGTTTCTTTATAAATGGTGAGAGAATGTACAGCTCCAGTTTCTAAATCTCTCATCTGACCAATGACTTAGAAAGCAGTTATTTTAAGATTAGCTCACTTCCTCCTTTTTAATACCGTCTCTCTTGTTTTCATGATGTGAGAATCCATTTGGAGTTTTTGCTTCTTTAAGCTGCTCTAACTTATTCTAGACATTTATGCAATGAAGCCTACCCAAACCGGCTCTGAATACCATTTGAAAGATGATGATAAAGATATGTAGATTGTTATGCTGTTAAATTAGATAATTGTTGAAGCTAGGGTAAATAATGGGGGATGTGCGCGTGCACGCGCGCACACACCAAGTACAAGTTTCTGTTTAATTTTACCCCTTAAATATGACTTGCTTGTGGGGCTCTTCCTTTTCTAAATGAAAAGTATGGTGCAGTATCAATGCAATCTTAATTTTAATTTCTTATTTCTGTCTATCTTGCTTTATAATTTTTGCTGTACACTAGAAATTTATGCATTTTAAACAACTTTCTTGTCACATAGAACTTCAATATAACATCTACATGCATTTTTTTAAATGTTTTAAAATGGTTTGTTGGACCTCTTTGTTCTTTTTTGACCAGCGTCTCATAGTGCAACCTATACCAAGCATTCTTAAAGCTGGTATTTATCATTACCTTTTTTATTCACTCTTTACCAAATTATCACTTTTCCAACAACAAACTTTTGAGAGTGGGTTTTATAACCTTTTTATGTTAGTTTCCTATCACAATCAGTTCCTGAAAGCACAAGACTGAGTCAGTAGGTTCTAGTCCCACCTCTCATGGATTCTCCTGCCCTTGCGAACATTTAGTAGTGCCTTACTCTGCAAGTAATCTTATTGAAATCAGGCTTTAAGTGGGTCATCCGGTTTTACACAGTATTTTTGCTGTTTCCCCTTCTTGAATACGGGAATAATGAACTTTATCCCCCTCCCCCCTTTTTTTTTAAGTACTGTGCAATTCTTGGATAAAAGGTGTTATTTTGCAAAGTATTATTACAGTTTCGTGTTTATATTACACACAAATTTTTCATAAGTGAAAGCATCTTTTACAATGCTAGGAGAAAGCCATTTTGCCATTCAGACAAGAATCTTCTCAAATGCAGAGAAGCACACAAAAATATTTTTGAGAGTGACCTTTTGTTGAGATGTTAAATTTTCAAAAGGAAAATGTAAAGGAAAGATAATGAAAACAGTTTAATAAGCCTTCTGTAAAGCTTGTCATCTCCTTACAGCAACAAAATAATATGCACACTTCCTGAAGGAGCCACACAAGTAAACATGTCATCGGCTTATTTTTGGGAAGAGACTGCACAATATTAATGTAGTAACACTGGTCAGATACTTGGCCTCATTAAAGCTGCTTTTCACTTTTCCCAGGAGGTAGCCATGTTAGTCTGTGACTGCAAAAACAATGAGAAGAGTTGTGGCACCTTAGACACTAACAGATTCATTAGGTCATAAGCCTTTGTGGGTAAAACCCACTTCATCAGATGAAAGCTTATGTTCTAATAAATCTGTTAGTCTCTAAGGCCATGTCTATACTAGGAAATTATTTCGAAGTAACTAAATTCAAAATAACTACTCCCGAAATTACAAAATTGAAATAGTGTTATTCCCTGAGGAAAGCAGGAGCACAGATTTTGAAATAACCAGCCTGTTGTTTTGAAATAACAGGCTTGGTAGTGTGGATGCTCCGTTTATTGTTTCGAAATAAGGGGGGATATTTTGAAATAACTCCCTAGTGTAGACCAGGGCTAAGGTGCCACAGGACTCCTTGTTGTGTTTACTCTTTTCCAGTGATGCAAAACAGCCTTAAATCTATTGTAACCAGGGGATCTCCTTGGGGTACAGCAGCTCTTATGCCACAACTCATCCTTCATCACTCCCTTCCTCCTTCCCTCTCATTGCTCTCAACTGTAGATGTATGGCCTAAGCATCCTGGCACTTACACTGTCCCCAGGAGCAGCCTCAGAAGCCAAAACAAAAGAGCCCTAACTGGTGGCCCCCAGGATTAGGGGTGACACAAAGGCAGCGTATAGCCACATTTTGCAGTCCCTTCTCCCCAAGCGAAACTGGTGCCAATAGCTGATCTCAAGCAGTCTGGCCTTTTGTCTTTCATTACCATAGCAGCCACATGTCAGCTGAAGTTATTCTTACATTAGCCTGATGGTAGATTGTAGTATACACTTAGGGTCATATATTGAAATGCTATTTAGAAAATATTCTTCATTTCCAGTAGTCCTCCTTTTTCTTTATTAAAGCAACCCAACAATTTTTAAATGTAATTTCAATTACATTGACGTTTCTCTTGCAACATGTAATTTTCCCTTCACTGTGTAATAGTATGGAACTCTGTGGTACAATTTTCTTTCTGTTGCTTTTTGATGTGTTGGTGTCATTTGTTATAACTCAAGTCTCACTCTTGTTTTAAATCTGTCATTAAACTCAGCTGATGCTATCCCTGGAGTACGAAGATGGCAGTCACGCCTCTGGTCTCTAACTACCAAATTTATAGAAGCCAGGACTTCCAGCATTGTGGCCAATCCCCAGCTATTGAATGAAAAGGAGAAGGCTGAAGCCAAAAAGATCTGGAAGCAGAAGAACCTTGTGGTCTCTGAGGTTAAAAGGAACTTTTAACTATTTTGAAAATGACTGAATAGATTACTGGTGGTGTTATACAGTATCATGCACCAACAGTGTGCCTGGCTTCTTGTGTTATCAGGTCAAACAGTTTGTCTTTAGATTATTCCATGATAAATAGCTTTAATAGTGAAACTTTCTCTGTTTAAACCTGGGGAGTCCCTAATTACCAGCGACTTCATTTACCTAAAACCAAATGGGGCGTGATTCGAGGTCTGGATAAGCAAGGCTTTTCACAAATGAATTTATCACAAGAATATCACCACCACTGATTGCACATGGTCTGCATATATATCTGTGGGTGATATTGCTTTGAGAGGGAGGAATACGTACGGACATTGCAATTGGTTAATGTTCTTGTTTTATAAATTAAGAGCCCAGTATATGGAAATTGTAACTAACTAATAAAAGTGAACATGTTTTGTATAACTAGGTAACAAGTTACTTCACAACAGATTACTTGTTTAATGCTGCAATCTCTCAACTGATGGGCCTCACTAACATACTCTCAGTAAGTATCACATCTAAAAGAGCTTATGCAGTAAACATTTTTTTTCAATCTCTGTGCATACAGCTGTACATCCAAAATAGGAGCATCTTAGGCCTTTGAACATTATATTATATAAATATATACTATCATTAAACTATTGCTTTTATGGCCCCAAAAACTTGCATTACATCAATTCAAATGCACTGCACACTTGTAGCAAGTGTACTATATATTGCCATTAATAGCTTAAAAAGGAATCTGACTAACATTAAAACATTTTTAACTAAGAAGATTATTTAATTTTAAAGTCTTCTACAGATTGCACCTCCCTAAACCAGGACTCTCTCGTCCGGGAACATCCGTGGTCCAGCAGGACCATGCATGTTGCTGAACAAGAGAGCCTAGGGCAGGAGGACCAGCAGCTGAGAACCCCACAAAAGGTGAGGCTCTCAGCTGGTACCAGGGCCAGGGCCTCAGCTTCCTAACAGAGGTAGGGGGCTGTGAAAGCAACTCAGCTGGGGCCAGAGCAGCCTGTGCGTGCCGACCCGGCAGTGGGGTTGTGCCATGGCAGCTCGAGTGGGGCTGCATGGCGACCCGGCAGTGGGGACAGAGCCGTGGCAGTCTGGCTGACAGTAAGACCGGGCCGGGGCAGCCCAGCAGGGGAAACCCATCTGGGGCTGTGACAGCTGAGCCAGGGCCGTGTCAACCCTGCTGGAGTCACGGCAGGTTGGTGGCCTGATCAGGGCTATGTGCTGGCCAGCAGCAGGGCTGTTGCTGCGGCAGCCGGGCGTGCTGGCAGTGGAGCTGGAGCAGCACTTATGGTGGCAGGGCTGAGACAGCCGTGTCACCCGGTGAGGAGTGGGGCCAAACGAGCTGGTGGCAGGGAGGGGGTGGCAGGCTATGGGGTTGGTGGCAGGGAACCTTCCATGGTTCGATAAATTCCCTCATCCGAAACCTGTACTCCATATGTGGAGCTTTTCAGAGATACATATACACAACATAGATATGATCTAAACCACCTGAGTTGTTGTTGTTTTTTTTAATCTATGACCAGTAATTTCAAAGTATCTTTTGAATTCATCATTCAGTTTTGTTTTAAATTAAAATTCATCTTTTTAAAGAAATGTTACAGTAATAATTCCAATAAATAAAAAAAGAAATTGTTACTACTGATGAGGAAAATCACAAATTCCTTGCATTCCACTGAGATCTCTTTCAACAGTAGAGAGAGTTGGTATTAAGAGATCCTGGAAATTATCTTACCTTAAAAAATAACTTTAATTTGGCACTTCTAAGTTTACTAATTAGAAAATTAGCTAATCTAATTGCAGATCAGACAAGCAGTGATAGGTCAAATATAATAACTCTTGCCTTTACTTGGTTGAGGAAATAATTCTGTTTAATTTTGCAGTGATCTTAATTCCATTTTGAATTAAACACTCATATTTTTCATCTTTGATTGCAGTTAATTATTATTAGAATTAACTTGTGATTTTAAGCCAGTTACTGGTTAAACCACAACATTTAACACAGGTCTCCGTAAGACGTATGCAAATGCTGTATTGAAATAGCAAAAATCCTAGAGACTACATAGTCCATGGGATATTTTTTCTCCAGATCCGAGATTCATATCATTTCAGACGAACATCCAAATACTTTAATACTACTATGAATTCTCTGGTCAAGAAATAAGGGTGGGTATCTTTCAAACACAAGTTTCCTTGTATCATTTTGATACTTCCTCTTTCAGGCTTAGCTGAAACCAGGAAGTGTGCAGATGTGTGAAAATTAAAATCAGAGGGGAAAAAAGAGGTACTAAAATGTATTCAAACCTCAGACAAGGATGAAGAAATGAACATGCATAGAATCTGAACTGTCCTCATCATTGGAGGTAGTTCCCCTAGCTCAGAGTGTAAGAAATCTGACTGGGCAGAGTAGGGGAAAGCTTGTGCAGCTTCTGCTTATGTTCTGCCTTTTCTAGAAAAACGGGAATTTGGTCAATCTGGCACCTTTCACGGGAACTTGTAAAAGAAACATTCATTACCAAAACTACAAAGATTTAAACCACAAAAGATTTTTCTGGTTTTCACTCTGACATCTTTTTACAACTTTTTAGCTCTATATCAGCTTTATCTAAATGAGGCCAGGATTGTATACCGATGAGCCCTATCTCAACAAAACATATGCCATCATTACATGTCTACACGGGCCTAATAGTCTGACAGTTTTTTAAAACTCAACTGTGAACTTGTTGGACACTGCATTTCTGGAGCTAGGTGGGAACACACATTCCAGTGCCCAGAATGCTCTTCAAGGCCCCAGTCCTAAAAGGCTTCCATATGGGCAGACCCCCCCTCCCCCCCCATACTCACACGGTCTGATCACACTGATCCCTTTTCAGGATCCAAGTTTGTAGCCATTTCATTAGTGTGCTGGTGCCTTAGCTCCAGGTTAGAGTCCTCTGTGTGTGTGCAGCTCTTTCCAATGGTGTGTTTTGTAATCAAAAGTTTGGAATGGTTTCCATTTTCATTCTCTATCTTTTGTTAAGCTTATCATTTATTGTAAAATTGGAATTTTTCTAGACTGAGACATTGATTTATGTTATTATTTCATTCTCTGCACTACCAGCTGCCGTTTTATAGGAATATTTATACTTACGATTTCTTTTTCTCCACCTTTTCCATAGCAAGCCTCTCAGCCTCTAATTCTCCACAGTCCAGAATTTGAAGATGCTTTGGCTACTCTTTGTATTATGGTTGCACCTATGGCCCCGCACATTGCCTCAGAGCTATGGAAAGGTACTTACGTAAAATACTTTTTACTCTGATTGCCAAAAAAAAAATAGTTGGGGAAATAATATCCAGGCAAGTTGCATAATTAAAACTCTGTAGTAAGTTTGCAAGAAGCATCTTACATATGATGCACTTCACAGACACTTAATAGCCTACAGACCAAGATCTGTCCTCCTCACAGATACACACAACTTTCCCATCCCAGGGAGTTGGATTCAGTAATGTCCCCAGGCCTCTCATTCCCACTCATCCATATAATTCCCACACTAACCTGAGGCTTACAAATTGATCACTCTCCATTTTTCTGCTTGCATGATTTATTTCTATGGTCACATTGTACTTTTTCTGTGGAAGTGGTGTGATGGGTAAGGAGAAGGTTACATTTCTTTAAGTGAGAAGGGAGAAGAACCTTCCAAACCACTAGGGCTTGTGCAGGCATTCATGGAGGGAAAGACTGACAGCTGGGCCTAAGGAGGGAAACAGTCCTTCTAAAAGAAGGATTTGTCCAGAGAAGTGGCCCCTGTTCCAGGTATTGAGTTTGAGCTAAGAGGACTACAGGGCTATGTGCCAAGCAACATGAAAGATTGTGGATTCACAGTACTATTGTTGTAACTTTCCCTAGCAGCTAGGAACATGTTGTTGTGAGTTAACTTCTCTAGGGAGATAAAACCTTGCCTACGACTTACATCAACTGTGAACCTTAATATCTAACCCCTAAGTTGGCCTGGAAGGGTAACCATCAGTAGTGTGAGGGATGTACATACCAGAATTCAGAGGTTGGCAATCATATTAATGATATGTTGATAAAAGTGCCAAGAGATAGATGAGAAAATGGGAATGCATTCCCTGTTAAAATTGGCTATGATGGACTCTGTGACCTTAGCATAGCATTTTATAGAACATTCAAGAGCAAAGTTTTGTCTGAAGAAGATAATCATCCTACATCTTCATGCTGTAGCTGATTGACTCAGAGCTAACAAGCACAAAAACAGTTTCCTTGCCTTGTCAAAAAAAAATTTAATTTTAATTTTAATTTTGTAATAGATTACATTCAACACAGTACTGTGCTGCATTTGCTTTTTTGTGGGGGAGAGATTCTGTGTTGCTGTCTGTTGGCTATCTTCTGGTTCGTAATGAGGTGAATGGTTGACTGTTCAGTTCATAACTCTGGTGTTCATAACTTGGAGGTACTACTGTAAACTGATTATTTTTCAATCACATGTGGCATTGAATACTGCCAGAGAAAAGATTATTTAAGAAAAAAATGAATTTTAGTTGATGGTTTACAGGCAATAGATATTGGAACATTTGTTATGTGGAAGTATTGTATTGCCTTTATAAATCTATAAAATTCCTTTTTCTATTGGTTTACAAAGGCTTTACTATAATTTTCACAATCTGATCTTCCAGTTGTTTAGGGGTTATATTATATCTGCATAATGGAGCCAGGAACCCTAACTATGGCCTCTGGGCAGTATTGAAATACAAATAATATTATTGAAGAAAGAATTATTAAATATGTTTGGTAAAATAATGAAGACTACCAACATGTCTTGTCTTGTATCTCTCTCTGGTCAAACATAGGACCTGACCCTGCAAAATATGAAATGCCTTTAGTTCTCATTTAAAGTCATTGGGAGTTGTAGATGTTCAGCATTTTTCAGGATCTGGCTTACATATGAGACTAGAAGATTTACCCAGCATTGCTTGGGTCCTTAACTCAATTAACTTTGGGGTTTTTTTTTTTTTGGAAAATAAATTAAAAACACATGCTTCATTTAAATTGTTACTCTGGGGTAGGGTTCAATATGCAGGCTGCCCCGGGGAAAGAGGACTACCCCAGCCCCCTCTCACCACAGCAGCTTAAGGCCAGGTGAGAAGAGCCTCTAAATGACTGCTGCAGCTCCAGGATCAGCTGGGGACTCCCCCGCTGACCTCGGGCTTCATGCGGTGCTGCCGCTTTGAAATGCTGTGTGCAGCTTGGGGACACATCAGCTGGCCCCAGGCTGCACGTGGCATTTTAAAGTGGCAGTGCTGCATGTAATCCGGGTCTGGCTCTGGGCTCCATGTGGCGCTGCACCTTTGTATTACTCCTACATATCCCCCACCCTTTGCTGCCTCTTTCTCATAGAGGGATTTGCTTATCAGATAGTTGACTAGACCTTTGCATCCCTAGTGCATGTTCATTAGCTGGGGCAGGTCCACGTTTGTCTTCCCCCTGCACTTCCCAGGCAGAGTGAGGAATGCTGCGCACTTTCCTCTCACTCTCTGATGAAGGGGAACAGCCAGGAATGTACAAATCAGGGAGGGTATGTCTAATCCAAACTAGCCTAATCCGAACTAGCTACTCCGTGCCACGTGTAGCCGCGCGGCATGGGGTTCGAACTAGCCAGGATTTAAAAATGGCAGCGCCCAGCTTATGCAAATGAAGCCCGGGAAATTCAAATCCCGGGCTTCATTTGCAAGTGCAATATGCCTACATTACCCCGCTAGTTCGAACTAGCGGGGTAGTGTAGACATACCCGGAGGGAAGTGAGCTTCAGCCCCTTCTCCTGCCCTCCCTAAAAGGCACCTGGTGGGTGGAAGGCTTGGTGCTGGGATAGTCCCAGATGGAAAAGAGGGGGGGGGCCTGCCCCCAGCTAGCTCTTTTCACCTGCCGCCTGATGATTCTGTCTCTTTTCTGTATGGTTTTATAAGAAGCAATCCCATTCCAGCCACATTCCATCTTCCTGGCCCAAGCAAACCCTTACTTTGCTTTAAGTTATGATGAGAGGAAACTGTATATTGAATTTGATGGTCCTAGCTCTAACTGTTTAGGTCAAAGGATTTCTTGGAAAAAATAAACAGACAGACAGACACAAATAGACAAACTTTCTAAAATAGTGGTTTTCAAACTTTTTTTCTCGTGACCCAGTTGAAGAAAATTGTTCATGGCCACAACCCAACATAATTATATCTTCTGACTAGAATTCAAGCTATGAGGTGGGGCCAGGAATGAGGGAGAAGGCTCAGGGCAGGGGATTGGAGCGCAGGCTTACTTCCAGTGGCTCCAGGTCAGCAGTGCTCCAGGGGTGCTAAGGCAGGTTTCCTGCTTGTCCATGCTGTTCCCCAGAAGCAGGTCTAGCTCCTAGGCAGAGATATGTAAGCAGTTCTGCACACTGTTCTCACTAGCATCCATTACCTCCCTTCGTCCAGCTCTTGTCGGCCAGGAAGCAGCCAACAGGAGTGGGGAGTGGTGCTCTAGGCAGGCACAGCACTTGGATACCCGAAGCCCCCACCTAGGAGCTGTACCTGTTGCTGGCCACTTCAGGGTGCAGCACAGTCACACTACAGCAAGCTGACCCAGTGCCTGACTTTCCAGGATCCACTACTGGGTCACGACCCAGACTTTGAAAACCACTGCTCTAAAATATATAGTAGATATAAATTGTGTTCCTTGGAGAGGATCCAACATTTGTTATTGCTCAATCCAAGACATCTGTGAAAAGTATCCATCTAGAGTAGAGCCAAGTTATTCAACAACAGGGAAGAGGGTTAATGTTCTCAAACATACAAGTCTGCATTCCTGGCCTTCTGAACCTTGGTGATCGGCAATTTAGGCATATTTATTCTTATCTTATTGTATAGGGAGGTAGGGGAGTTAAATTCTTGGATTATTTCAAGAACTATAGTTTTAAGATTTTAAAGACAGTCACACTGTGTCACTTGTATATGAGCATAATTTGTAAAGTTATAACTAATTCATGTTGACTGTATCTTTTACCTGATATTTATCTTTTACAGTTGTAATCATACCTACTGGACAAGAAGTGTTTAATAAGATTTTGAACTTGACACCTAAACATTGTTTTCACTAATTTTTTAGAAAAATGAAAAAATATTAAGATTTTTAAATCCTCCATTTTAAATCGTCCATTGTGTGCTTCAACTCTTCATCTGTAAAATAGGGATAATTCTGTCTGTGCTTTGGCTTTATCTATAAAATAGGAATGGCAGTGTTTTGTTTCTCCACTCTTTCTGTCTCCTGTGTGTTGCTTGTATTCCCTTCAAGACATGATCTCTGTCTCCTACTTTGTGTTTATATAGTACCTAGCATAGTTGAGTCCCATTTTAGCTGGAGGCACTATAATACAACAAATAATAATAAAGCTATATACAGTAAAACTCCAGTAGTCCAGCATCCAATTGTACGGCACTACTGATAGTCCAGCATCAAAATGGCAAGAGCCCAGTGAGTGAGCTTAGGCAACAAATGAGTGAGAAGGCAGCAGCAGCTGAACTGAGTGAAAAGGGTAAAAAAGGGTAAAAAAACCCTAAAACATTACAGTATATTGTATACAGTATGTACAATAAAAAGAGTTAAAACACTTTATATATGGTGTGTGTGTATATATATATATATATAAAAACCATTTTATAGTACCTCCTGATAATCCGTCATATCCAATAATCCGGCACCACCTAGGTCCCAAAGGTTCCAGATTATTGGAAGTCTACTGTATTTGTTATCAAACTCTTAATTTTGGCCCTAAAAATATCTGCTTCTATCCCTTAAACTTACTTCTGTTTCAGAAATGAATTTAAGAAGAATGTTCTTTCTAAAGATAGTCGGGCTAGTCTTAATAATTAAATAGATATTTTTCCTGTTGGTTAAGAACAACGTTGAACAGGAAAACTGATTCTTCTGTTTACCATGCATCATGTTACACTCCTCCTTTACTTGAACTACCTTTGAGAAGAAAGGATTTTGCTATATTAATAATATTTTGTAGCTAGGGAATATTTACCGGGTAATTAAATATACCTTACATTTAATGCATTACAACCTTTAAAAAAGAGCACAATTTGAGTGTTTTGCGTAGTATTTTACTGTGTACATAAGCCACTTTCCAGACTGTTACATTCTAATGGTATAATCTTATTAATCTTTTCGACTGCTTCTCATAACTCACTGTGGTAAGCATGGCAGAATGCTTTTTATATATAATTTCAACAGATATTGATTA